TGGAATGCAGACCGACAGGTTTTGAACCGCGATAAAGTATAGTAACGACGTGTGCCGCGATCTAGGTTTCCTCGTGTGCAAGTTGGTACATTGCTGCATCGTCACGTGACTAAATTCCATTTGAAATATGTAAGTAAACTGTACGATTTTTGCAACCAATTTCATATTCTAAATTGTTCGGTATCAAAGGAAATTTATAGTTTCTACTTGAAATACAATTGATTCAATTTTACGACGGTCAGAATAAAAATTTCTCACTATAGTTCGAACGTCCTGCGCGAAGTTGTGCACATAGCGCTATATTCGAAATTTCGAGCGCACCAACTATGACCGTGTAAACAAAAGCTTTATGAAAATAGTATTGTTATGACAGACGTGAATAATTGGTATGTATAGTAGCAATTTTTTTTTTACAGATTACCTCGGAAATTAAGGCTAAGCGGCGGATATACAGGGTGTTTCCGAAAATGTGGGCATAACTTCAGGGATAGGTTCAGTACGCTAAAATAAGAAAAAAAGTTCATATGAACATATGTCCGATATGACCTTGTTTCCGAATTATAGCCGATTTTGTCTTCCAGTAATTCTTACGACTCTGTTGACTGCTTCTTTTAATTATTTACAAGTAACGCTTCTTATCTCATGCACGATCTTCTGGTCTGCTATGTAAACACTATTTCATAATTTGTTTCAATCAGTTTAATCATGTTCTTGGTGGTAACAGCACGTATGGCAATTTACTAATACATTTCATAATAATTTGGAGTGATCATCTAATACATTTCATAACAATTTGAACGATAATTTACATTGATACGACATTTGGAAGCCCGCATTCTAGCCAAGGGTGACCACTTCGAACAATTTCTATGAAAATTATTAAATAACAGGTTTTACATAAAAACGGCTATAATTCGAAAACAAGGTCATATCGGGCATATGTTCATACGAATTTTTTTTCTTATTTTAGCGTACTGAAACTATCCCCGAAGTTATGCCCACATTTTCGGAAACACCCTGTATATATAAATAGATAGATAGGTTGGTAGATAGATAGATAGAGATAGATAAATAGATAGGTAGATAGGTAGACAGATAGTTTACATATAGTAACGAATCTTCCTCTCGAAAAAAAGGATGCGAATTTAAATAATCAAATTCTGCTCACGTTTCACTTTTCTTTTATCCACGTTCTTTTCATTAATAAAGTTCTATTTTGGTTACAATCTAAAATATTAAATAATATTAATAATAATAATATAATTAATAATAATAATAATAATTACAATATTACGCCAACAAAATTCGTACAATGTACAACTTGTAGATATACATATAAATAAACATCTGTTCCTCAAAATAAATGATTTTCTGCGTTTGGCACGATGTCATGTAAATGGAAGCAAATTAAACACCATGTTACATTTTGATTGTCCGTGGCTAATTGCGATGCAATGAAGTATGATTTGCTTCGTACACTTGATTTTTTTTATATATATTTTTTCCTTGATGTTTTAAATGTCGATGGTGTGTCAGCCGGTCACAATTAATAAGAAATAATGATTCAATACGGCGATAAATAATAATTTTTATGCATCTAGGGATTACACAGGAGAAAATGATACTTTCCTATTGCATTACACCCTATAATAATACTTCATAAAAAATACTCCATACATAAACTATCTTGTATAATTTGTATTTTACAATTTTCATACTTATTTCACTCTATACAAATGCGTAATGTTACATAGATTTGATGAACGTTTTACATGGACCAGCTGACTAAAAGAGTATTTTGCCCAATGTCAGAATTCACTGTAATATATTGCTTTATATTGCATTGCTAATCAATTACTCTTAATTTGTAATTGGATCGATTAGCAATAATCACTATTATTATAAATGGCATCCCACCCCCTAATCGATTAGATTAGAATAAACTACATGGAAGAACAGATCTTCAGTCATATCAAACAAAAACTAGACTAAAAATGTCAACAAATAGTGAAAACTGTG